GGCCGCCGGGCGCCGCCGCAGCGGTTTAACCGAAGCCGCCGCCGCGCGCGGGGCTCTGCCCGCCCGGCCCGGCCCCGTGAGGCGGCCCGGGGGACGCGGAGCCCGGGAGGGCCGTCCCGCCCTGCCGTGAGGGACCCACGGTGAGTGATGTGCGGGTCATAGCAGTTAGCTGAAAATCCCGTAAATCCCCGGTTTTGAGAAGCCGCGTGTCTCCACGCGCCGAGTTCAGTTTTGTTGGTGCGGTCTTCAGCAGCGAGGGCATGCTGATTGCATCCATTGCTTCTGCTTCGCTCTGAAGTGATGGCTGTAAAACAGAGTGGCTCGGAAGAAAACATTTGGTTTCTTTGACAGCTTGCAAATTAGTTATTATCACGTTTGTTTTAGGCAAATAAGGGCTTCTTTTAAACCAACAAATATCGTAAAAGCATGTTTAATGAAACATGTTAGAATTTCAAAAATTAATCAGCAAATAGCTGCATGGTAGAAAACGCTGTACTTTTATCCTTAGATCTCAGATCTTAAGAGACATTAGATCTCCTAGAAAATTATCCAATTAAACGAAATTATGAATTATAATTAGTCCTATAGGAGGGCCAACTGTATCATTTAAGGAGCATGCAGAAGTATGAGAATATGACTGGTATATGTAGAAAGCACAGTCTGGTGAAATACAAGAGCTGGGTAAATGGCTTAAGACGTTAGTAAGGAATACTTTGTCTGACTGCATTTGGAATGTATTAGATGAGTAGTTTTCTCAGTGGAAGAAGCCAGGCAAGCATTGATGTGGTTATCCAGCTTTGAAACTCCTTTAAGGAGAAGCAGTGGCGTGGTCAAGCTGGCTGCGGGGAGGCAGGGGGAAAGCTCATGGCACTGGGAGAGCCGTGCAGGAGGCAATGGAAGTGCTGGGCACTGAAGGGAGCTGTACCTGCTCAGGTGAAGGTGGTACACATGATGAAGCTTTTCACAGGCATCAGCACCACCAGCGGGGTAGGGCTGCTCAAGGGGAGGCAGCAGCGTGTCTCTAGGAAGCCCTGGAGACCTCTCCTTTGGGGCAGAGGCAGAGCTCAGACCACGGCCACTGTGGGACCACCCCTGCTTCAGTCTGAGCTGGCCAAGAGTGTTTCTGAGAAGAGGCAGAAGGGCTGTGTGCTGTCAGCAGGGAACATACAAATTGCAATAGCACCTCATGGCCAGCATTTGTGTTACCTTGATCTCTGAAGTCCTGTCACTGAAGTCAGCAAAGCACATGGTTCATCTTCAGCTGCTGTGACACAACGGGGAAGGGAGGAACTGTGGCATGGGGCAAAATATCCTGGTTTTTCTCTTGGGGACCTCAGTTCACAATTTACTGCCACTTCCATTGGGATCAGCAGATACCATGGAACATGAAATCATGGGCCAGAAGATCCCAGCAGGACTTCCCCACTACCAGAGCAGTCTCTGAACCCCTACTGTGTTTGCTCTGGAGCCTGTGTACCCCATGGTAGTAGAAGAGAGTAAGGAATCAACAGATATTTTGCATAGAGAAGGGTGATCACATTTTTTTAACAGTTGGGCTGAATGCACCGCTGCTTTAGGAGTGTTTATAGCTGTATAAAACCTAGGCATCCTTTATAATACATATGTTTTTATAAATAACACCTTGTCTGCAAGGAGTATTCTACAACAAAATAAGACTCTCAATAAATATTGAAGGGTGATAAATTCAAAGACTGAGGAGAAGATTGCAAAATTATCTGGGTCACTTGTTAGTAAGCATTCTGGTCTTTTATTATGAAGACTTAATGAAGAAAATACAAGTGAGTGGAAGTAGTTTTGCATTTTGTGTATTTATACAAAATGAGAAGTTTAGACAGCTGGTATTAATTGTCATAACTGACTGGCTTCAGTGGAGCTGATGGTTGATGCCAGCTCAGGACCTTCCCCTGTGCATGATAATTTTAGTATCTACTTCAGTATCTGTAATTTGGTACAACAACTGGTAGTGTCATTCCAGAGCAGTTACAGGCAGGACATAAATGATGACCATTTCCCCTCCTCTGTCCAGTTCTCTTTAATATTTTATTTAATATTTCAGTGCTGTGGACTGTGTTTCCCTCTGCTTGGTGCTTTGGCTGCAAGCAGTGAGTTTCCAGCTCTCACAGTTTGGTTTTCTTATATAATGGAGACTTCCCTGCAAGTAGATCACAAAGAGGAGACAGATGGTAAACGTAACTTAGACCGTGCCATGAAGGGCTTATTTATAACTCACAGTACCAGGAGGAGATCAGGGGGCCCTTTGAGAGGAGAAATCACAGAGGAACTGGACCTTTTTTTAAAGTCCTGACTTCATACTCCTATTGTAAAGAGTTCTGTTTGGTTCAGGGTATTTTTTGTGTCTCATGTGAGGATGTTTATCAAGCCCCTGAAAAAGACGGATTTTTTAAAAGAAAGCAAATTTTATTATTTATGGGAAGGCTTTTTATTTTTTAATCTGGTTAAATCTGCACAACTTTTTTTTTATCAATTGAGGACCATGACCTGCTTTCAGAAATGGAAATTAATTAAATTTAAGGAGATAGATTTTGGGACTTGTGAGCCATCAAAGTTTCTGTGTCCCCTTAATGGTTTTCTTTTTTGACTTTTTTTGCCCAAAGTAAGATTTGAGGCAGGCTGCATGACAAGTTGAAAAAGTGTTATGATCATAACAGACCAAGGCGTATCTGAGGTGATTGCTTGTCCATTTACAGTAAATGAGTAAGATGTTTGAAAGCAGTAAATTTTTTTTTTTACACAACATTTCTAATCTGTTGCCTGGTTTCCTATGTATTACTGCTTTTGTATTAAATTTTCACTTGAATTTTTCACTCTCTCTGCATTACAGCCAGTCAAGTTAAGTGGCGTTTTCTCTTTTTTCCAATTCCAGAGTTAGGACCATCGATCACTGTGTGCAGGTTAAATTTTTCTTGAGGAGTGGACCTTTCAAAGGGACCCTGCAGTCTGGTACTTTTAGTATAAAACTCGTAACACCAGACTAACTTTATCAAAGATATGTCATTTAATTGTAGGAAAGATAAAATGTGGAAAGAAAAAAAATTACAATATTTTCAGGTGAATGCTGGAGGGATGAGACTGGGTCAGCAAAGGGTAACAAACTTGTTTTTTGATCATGGTAATGTTCATAATTATCATCTGGGATTTTTTTTGAGTGGGCAGCTTCAATGAGGAGCTCTTACAGCTCCTGCTAAGGTATGCTGATCTTGGGAAAGACAAGATGAGACTGAATATTAAGATTGGACAGTTTTGTAATAGGATAAACAGTTTCTGAAGTAAGCAACTAAACAGGCAGGCTCGTATTGCCTCAAAAAATAAGAATTGCTTTTATTAGATGAACTCTGGGAAAATACAAAACAAGAATACATACATGTAAATGCACGATTTAATATAACTAGTACATCTCAAAAAGGAATTAGTAGGTCAAGGATTCTTGGGTTGGAAAATCTATTACTGCATACTTCTGCAAAGCTATTGGCAGATGAGGAAGGCTCTGCTCTTCCACGATTTGTAGGTGTCAGGAGTTCCTGATGCAGCCACTTGGGTTTTCTCAGCACCAGTTCATTGACTGTGAGCCTCTCCTGATGGTGAGGCAGAAGCAAAGGAGCTTCTGTCTGCAGCCATGGTCACTGCCTCACAGACCCAACCCAAAACTCAAGGAGTGCTTCTTTTTTTTCTTCAATATTTTGATTGTCCTTATTGGAAATTACTCATCTGCCCTGAGGCAGGGTCCAGCTGCTCATCCTGCTCAAGGTTTAATGGCCATGGAGAGAGATGGAAGTGCACACATGGGTGGTATCATGTTTAGCAGTGTGCTGGTGCTTTATATCAATATCTTTTAGCATCAGAGGTGGAGGTAGGATGACTTGCAGAGGCAAAATGCCTTAGAGCCAGCTGGCTAACCTTCAAACATATTAGAGTTAGTGATGCCTATGAACTGGAAAGTAGCCTAAAGTAATAGCAGATATGGCAGTATGCCAAATGGCAGAAACATATCTGCCATCTTCAAGGCCAACAACCTGTTGGACTGGCACTATTTTGGAAATTCAGACAGCAGGAATTTGCAAAGAAGATTTCGTCCAACATTCACACTCCTAAGGAAAATTTCAGCTTTGTTATCCCACTGTCAAGAGGTTCAGGTAATTGGAGCTATCAGAAAGGTTCAAGAGAAAGTCCTGACTCAGGAACATCATCTTCTTCTTACAATTGATTGCACATAATAAAGCAGACTTTGGAATAGTCAGTTTTCAAATTACTTTAAGATGAAGCCCTATCCATGGGCTACATTGCTGTGGTCAAGATTAGTGGTAACCTTACCTTGAAGTGTTGAGGTGAGATGGAATTTCTTGTGACAGATTATCTTTGAGTCTTCCCTGCTCCAGTGCCATGTCAAGGGTAAAAGGTCTCTGTGTCCCAGGTTACTCCAGTGCAAGGATTGCACCAATTCATGACATTCCTTTGTTTTCTGATGGGTTCCTGCAGTGAAGCTTTGAGTCTGCTGCTGTATGTTAACTACAAGGCTAAAGTTGCCAGCCCCAAGTGGGGAAGGAGCCATTAAAAGAGCAGAATAGCAAAAGAAGAGAACAGACAGCTTTCTCTAAGACCTGCATATACAAATAAGGAAGTTAAAGATTTGAAGTAGTTTTAAGGTTATACTGATCACAGTGGGGATTTTACTTACATGCATAGAAATCAGCTAAAGCTTACAGAGCTGTGAAAATCCTGCACAGTGTACAAATGGATGGCAAAGCCTATAGGGACCCTGAGGCTACAGAATGCTGATGCAATTATCTGCCTTTCCAGTCTACACACAATTCCAACATTCTACTGCTGACCTGAAACAATCTCAATAGGAACTGCCACTTAGTGGTTATATGTTCATGTCCTCACAAGTGAGAAACTGAAATGCCTTGGATTCCTATCAGTCTACAAATGAAGGACTGGGGTGGGGGTGGTGTGACTTTCTGTACTAACTGGTTGAAAGGGAGCACCAAAGTGCTCTCCAGAACATCTCTATTGAAGTCAAATTTGAAGAGTTTAGAATTTGTAAATCAGGGCAAGCATTGGTAGCTAAATGCTCTTGTTTCATATGTTGTGACACTGTTTTCATTGGGAAAAACATCCCAAGATCTCTAAGATCCCATTCCTTTTGTGTATCTACAGCAGTGCCAGTGAGCACTGGTGATTGTTGGTGTATTTTTGAAGTTTACAGGAAAACAACTCTTAATATTAATTATTTTCAAAAGAATTTGAAAAATAAGAGCTTAACTTTCCATATCATGAAAATCCCTGACTTCAGCTCCTCTAAACTGCAAAGAGAGAAGTCCCTTCCAGTGGTAAGCTGCTTTTCCAGCATTTTTGCTTAAAATCATTGTTCTCTTTATTTGCACCATGTTTGGCACACTGAGTTTAGGCTTTCCTGGGACTCAAAGGATCAATACAATACAGACAGCAGTAGCACTGGAGTCACATCATGATTTCCTTCCTCCCATGAGCTGTGATAGACCTGAAGCTGAAAAGAAGAGAAAAAGAAGAGAAAGTGCCTTTCTGTTAGCTTCCTAGTACACAGTGTACTTTAAGATTTCTAACAATTTTCTTCTAAAAAATGTAATTTCCAGACCACAACTAAATTATTACAGAATCACAGAATAGTGAGGTTGGAAGAGACCTCTAAGATCATTGAGTCCAACCTATGTCCTAAGACCTCAATTCAGAATCTAGATTATAACACCAAGTGCCATGTCCAGCCTTTTTTTAAACACATCCAGAGATGGTGATTCTACCACCTCCCTGGGAAGAGCATTCCAGTACTTTATTATTATTTCAGTGAAAAAATTTTTCCTAATATCCAACCTATACCTTCCCTGACATAGCTTGAGACTGTGTCCTCTGGTTCTGTCAGTGCTGCCCGGTGGAAGAGACCGACCCCACCTGTCTACAACCTCCCTTCAAGAAGCTGTAGAGAGCAATAAGGTCACCTCTAAGCCTCCTCTTCTCCAGGCAATTATACACATGCTTTATCAGTATTTGGCTTACCTATCCCATTTCATAGTTTTTGCCACTACTTTTCCCTGGAGAACAGCCCCAGGGGAAGGGACGGCATTGCTCTGTGCCTGTGCGCTGGGTGAGGGGCCGGAGATGCAGCCGCACCTGTGGCAGCAGGGCTCCCCCAGCCCGGCTCTCCTCCCGCAGGCACAGAGGCACAGCAGCGGCTCGGGGAGCCGGGATCCCGGCCCGAGCTCCGCCCGCCTCCCGCTCCGCAGCCCCGCTCCCAGCCCGGAGCTGCGGGATGCTCCTTGAGCTGCCACGAGCACCGGCAACGGAGGGTTGGCAACGAGCAGCACGGCCAGCCAGAGTTTGGCTCCGGGTTGTTTGTTTTTTTTAAAATGGAAATTAGAACCCAATATCTAGGACTATATAGAGGAGTTATGAGCATGAATAGTGAATCATAAGCTTGTTCTTTTAATTACTGTGGCATACTTAGAACCTATTCATGTCTTCAAAAGCCCCAGAGGACCAAGTGAAATTGTGATACATCAATTTCAGCCTATGCAAACTTATTTACAGGAAGATGGTTAAAGCATCATTTAAAAGGAAAAGAAAGGAATGTGACTACAACTGTTTCTTTCAGGTAGGAACTGAAAGCCATCTTAAACATACAAGGTGCAGAGCACAATACAGTAACCATGAATGACATTGCACAGAAAACCGAGGTATGTACCAATTTTAAAGTAATCAAGGCAATGTAATAATTTACAACTGATGCTTGCAAAAGTAATAATTGCAAATAATTGAAAAAGACAATTATACTGGAAGTCTGCTGGTATTGCCATTATTTTTAGACAATGAAAGGGGATTTGTTAAGTAGCTTAAGATTTTATGGAATCTGTAACTGTGTTCTTATTAGAAAAACATGAAGGAAGAGGGTGAAATATGAAGGTTTAAATGCTGGTGGCGAAATTCTGGGCAACATTTACATCTGATGCTAAAATGTAAATATACTAGGCTACTTCAAGTATTTCCTCTTCTACATAGACTTACTGAGTAGCAGGGACAAAAACTTCTGATGTAGGTGGAAAAATATGAAACAAAGCATGTTTTTTGCCAGTTTTCTCAGTATTACTTTACTGAGAACATTCCTGTTGTCATCACTGTAAAAAGACAAAACTTCACAGTAGTGTGAAGCTCTGAAAGCTCTGAAAGTGGGAACCGTTGGTGTTTGGACACCCACAGAGTAATCACTGGCAAAGAAGTGTCCATTTGCTGTATCAGCATCAGAGCCCTGATGGTCCAGTGATCTTTGCACTTCGTAACATAAAATCTCTGGACTCCTGTTTTTTTTCTAGATATTGAAAAAGTAAGCATATTGCAAGTTTTAAATTAAGAAATACTGCTGTTTATTTAAAAACTATAGATGGCTTTTGAAGTGTTGCAGAAAAACTCTCATATGTATTTTATTATGTATCTATGTCTTTATATCTCTTTTAAATGTTAGGGGCAGAGAGTCTCTTTGGTGACTGCTTAAGATTGAAAGTAACAATATAAATCTGTATCTAATTTAATAGTTTAATATAATGCTGAATGTTGTTTTGGATATTTTAATATTTATTACTATTTATGAACAAATACAATGATGCTTAACTGATGACGGCTCATGGCACGAAGTTCATAATCTCAACTGCACTTCTGTTTTATGTTCTTACATTCTTTCTAATCCAATCTATCAGAATATTTCTGTCCATCTGTTTCAACTTTCTTTTTCTTATCTTCATTTCTTCTATATCTTCACCAAGATTCTGCTTTCTTCATCTAAACCCGTCCAAAAGTCCTATGTGCCCAAGCTTCACAAGGGGGATGTAAAGGATAAATTTGAAGCTATGCAGAAAGCAAGGGAAGAAAGAAATCAAAGGAGATCTAGAGATGAAAAGCAAAGAAGAAAAGAACAATATGTTAGAGAGAGAGAATGGAACAGGAGAAAGCAGGAGGTTATTTTCTTTGCTAATATTTTTTGTTATAATATTTAATAAATATATGAAAATATATTCCTATTATTTGAAGACAATAATACTGGGATTTCATTTAAGTTATAAAGACAGTTTATTTTCTGTGTTTCATCAACTAGATGAAAGAACTGCTTGGATCTGATGAAGATGATGACACCAAACTATCTAAAACAGAAAAGGGTTATGTTCCAAAGCTCATAGGTAAGAGCTTACTTACTCGACTCTAAAGGCCACAGAATTCCCTGGAATTCTGTTAGATGGAACTGCTGAGCTGTGCATTTCATGTCCACAGGAACTGTTAAAGGCAAGTTTGAAGAAATGGAGAAGCAAAGGCAAGAAGAAGAAAGAAAAAGAATGGAAGAAGAAAGAAAGCGCAGAATTGAACAAGATATGATTGAGAAAAGAAAAATTCAAAGAGAATTGGCAAAAAAGGCACAGGAGGTATGTTTATCTGATCACAACAGTCAGAATGTAATTGTAAACAATAAACACTAAAAATGTTTTGTATTGATCAGAAAGATTTGATCTTAAGATTTCTCATAGAAGAGATTTACATGGGAGATGCTCAGTGGGGTGGAAGTGAGATATCATGTTCAGACAGTCTTAATTTCTTTACAGTAACAATTTTCCTGTAAGCTCCCAAGTTGAGTTGCAGATGAAACTGGGCAGGCATAAACCTGGTACGAACCAGGCACAAATTTTGGTATCATATGCATATAAGTTTACTAAACTAATTTGAAAATGTTTCTTGTATTTTATCAACTCTTACTTTAGACAACCTTTCCTTGTAAGTTAGTGAATAGAGCTCAGTGATAAATGAATTAAGGCAATCAAGAAGTAGTAAGAAAATGCCAGTGGCAGGTAAAAATGAGACAACACTAATGCAGTAAAAATAATAAATCATGAAAATCATGAACATCCAGGTCATGTTTTATTCCTTTGCCATTTTGTGAATCATCATTGCATATAAATATACATATATTTTATTGATGCCAATAAAGCAAATTCTGTCTTTTGTAGAATTTTGTGAAGGGATATCAAACTTAGTTCCTTTCGCAAGTTTTCTTCAGTGTTGTAAATACTGCAGTGAGAGTAAGCATTTAATGATAGACTAAAAACATATGCAAATTTCTATTTAACTAAATGATAGTAGTACTTCATTTAGGTTTGAATTTGTTGTAAGAAATGAAAAGCAGTGCTATAGGAGAAGTCAGTTTTTCAATAGTCTTTTCTACTAGATCTTCTAACATTGTTAAAACCTTACTTTTAATTTGCATTGTATCTAACATATATTTAATCTACCCTGCAAGGCAGAAATGTAGAATTTTAAAAAGTATGTCAGTTTTAGGCCCTAACATAAGCACAGCATAGGAAACAAGCACAGCATTAGGCTTTTTTCAGGAGCTGAAGGGAAGACAATGTCACTTGAATCGGAAATGATCAATGACTTAGCTTTAGATTTTTTTAAAAAAATTTTTACACAATTCTGGAATGTTTAAATGAAGAATGGACATCTCAAGTACTGTTTTCGATTCAGCACTGTGTTGAGAATGCTTTAGCAGACTTTGTGTGGAATGTTTTATGTCTTGTTGCCTCTTCCTCGACAAGCTGACCTACTGAGGTATTCCAACAGAGCCTCGGTCATTACCACCTCGGTGGATTTATGTGCTACATACATATCACTGATACAAAAAGAATTTCCAGTTCTATGTTTGCAACTCTAAGGCAAAGAGCCAAATTAATGTAATCATATGAAATTCTCATTTAATAGATTGATGACTTTAACAATACGGGAACTGAATCAGCAGCTGAGGTAACTAGATTTTTTTAAAGAAATGTTCACCTACATTTTTTTTCACTTTGTTTTATTATTGTAATTTGGGTTGGGAAAACTTAGAAAACAGCACAGAAATACCTAATTAAAGTTGAACCAAGGAGCTAACAAATTTTTGGAGTACCTGGAACTATCTCTGTACTTGAAGTCAATATATTGAAGTCTGAAACAGAGCCTGGACTATGAATACTTTATGATCAGTTAAAAACATCTAAAATGTAAATATTAAAAGCCACTAGAATTATTTTATATATATTAGGAATGATTCTTTTAAGTCCTCCGGCTTTGCAAAGAATTATCTTAAAAGCTCTTTGCCTTAAACTTGAAATTAAAGGGGGATTCTGACAATATACAGATGATTGAACACCTCACTCAGTTAACTTTGTTATTTTTTTTTACTAATATACCATACGGGTTTTAAGTCTTGCAAAGAAATGTTTCATTTCAAAAAGCTGGGTCCAAAGGTCCTGTTGTCTTTCACTAACACAAGAAAATCACACTCCTACTACAGTTTTGGAAAGAAAAAATGAAACCTGCAAATGCCTCAGTTTTAACTTATTCAACAGGAAGGAAAAATATGGGTAAATTATATTTTGGCAAATAAGTTGTAAAAATAGAGTTGAAGCAGAAACATCCTTCAAGAAACAATTACTGTACCTGACAAATTATATATTAGAAATGACAAATTACATATTTCTGTGTTGAGCTATTGGCTTATTCCAGCTGCAGTTTATTATCATTTACATAATAAATATAAAACTGGAAGTAGAGTGTGGTTATAATTGTTGTGTATTCAAAATTACACCTGTTCTTTGCCAAAGCTTGAGTTTTTATGGTTAATGAAAATCTATAAAGAAATTGCCAGCCGCTATGTTTAAAATATAATTCAGTTTTTGATAATCTTCAGATATTAGAAAAAAACTAGTGACTGCCACAGGCAGGTGGATTTATTCTTGTGGGAAATATTCAATACACGTAAATCTTTTGGAAGCTTTGGCACGCACAGGTTAAACAGCAGGTTCATTAAGAAATGAGTCTACCTAGAAGTTTCATGAAAATGCAGTTTCATGAAAGTTTCATGAAGTTTCATGAAGTTTCATGAAGTTTCATGAAAATGCAGTAAATATCTTTTTGGACAGGAAGGGGATGATTCACTGCTAGTTACAGTAGTGCCTGTAAAAAGCACCAGGACATCTGGGAAGATGAAAATAAACTCTGAGAACACAGGAAAGGAGAGAGCAGAACAAAGAAAGACACAGGATGAAGAAATGAAGCTAAAATATGAGGAACAAAACCAACTCCTTAAGGAACCCAAGTGCCTTTCATCTGTCCAGGTAAACCAGTCATCCAAAAAAACCTATATAATAGATATTTATTGGCTTAAGATACAACTGTTTCATTTTTCTTACACAGGGTGAAAATGAAAACAGTGAAACTCAAGAGCCTCTGTCCCCTGGTAAGCTAAAAGTCACATTTGAAGAACTGGAAAGACAGAGACAGGAGAATCAAAGGAGGCAAGCAGAGGAAGAAGCAAGGCAGCGTTTGGAAGAGGAAAAACGTGCCTTTGAAGAAGCCAGGCAGAGAATGGTAAGCACACGTTTTTTTCATGTTGGTACACAATTTGCACATTCTTTCCTGTATGTGATTCTTCTCTTTTTTTATTCCTTATCTTTATTTCAAGCTGTTCAGAGTCTGGAAATGAGTTTTTGAAAGACATTTTTGACCTTCGCTCTAACTCAGTAACCACACTGGCATAACGCTTTAGACATTCTTTTAGTAAACCAAAAAATAACAGGTGTTTTGATTTTGCCAGCAACTTTGTTGATTTTCTAATCTGCACTTTGTAGTATCTTAAGCCGTAAGCCTTCAAGAAGATGAGTGGCTGTTTGTTTTCTTCTGAAGTAGTGCTGCAGATGGTTCAGTAACTGGCTTTTGACACAAACATTCCCTAGTAACAGAATGCTGTTTCTTATCCCCGTGTTTATTTGTAAATGTGACAGAAATATACATCAGTTACAACTCTCCTCTTACGAAGAAAGGCAAAAAAAAAAAACAAACCCACCAGATCAGCTCTTTTTTATGTATTTATATAAAAAACAACATATTATCAATTACTAGAGGAAGTCCCCCAAATTGTCAGAAATGCAGCCCACAGATCCTGTTTTATATTACTTGGAAAACTGCCTCCATATGTGTTCTTTATCATAAGTCAGAGTTAGATCAGCAATAAACAGAGATCACTATAGTTTGTTCTTTGATCATACTGAAGAAATCATACACTCAGTATTAACCTAAGATAACCAGACAGTTTAGTTCTGTATTTCCTTATTTTTCCACACTCCATTTCCAATAGCATTTTTAAAGTTCTGTATTTGAGTACTTTTCCCCTGTAGAGTCATGATCACTATGACTTTCTTAGTTCACATACAAAATTCACATACAAACAAGATTAACAAGAAATGAGACTTTAATCTTCCATAAAAACTTGGAAAATATTATTTATAGGAATTTGCTAGCTTTAACAGAGTATAATTATACATGAACAGTCTTGGAAAAACAACTCTAGATCACTATTTTGATTATATTTCAAAAACATTCAAGACATTTATATTCTACAGAAACAAACTTAAACAAAACTAACAACGCAGAACTTCTAGAAAGCTGAAACACACAAATTCCCAACTGGTCCATATTGAGAGTTCTAGGTTTAGGCAGATACCCAAATGTAGCTAACTTTTTCATCTCCACCTCCAATAAATCACTGTTGTTTCACACCAATAACCTTGCCATTATGTCAATAATGCACTTTTTTCTTCTTTGTTTGGGGCAAGGGATTGTAGTGAAGGAGAAGAGTGACGAAACTGAAGGAGAGTGAACTCCATGAAGTCACTTAGGTGTTCTAACTGAAGATTAGTTCACATCTCCTTCCTTATGCTTATGCATTTATCAAGTTATATGAAATAATTTACAAATTCTCCAGATCAAAAGAAATTTTTTAACATGAAGCTGTACCTGCTGACCAGTGGTTGTCAAAATTTGAAGTAAACATTTTTCTTAAGAATTCAGCAGTTAATTTCCTTAAATTCTTCAAATTCTTTTTTGCCTTACAAATTTCAAATAAAGATTTCTCTAATTCCCTTAATGGGCTACCCCACATACCAATCCCAGGGCTGCTCACAATATGGAGATCTGGATGATCAGTACTCTGACAGCTCCCAGTCCACTTCCTCCCTGAACAGATAAAGTACTCTGGGATGTCCTCTGAAAGGGGTTCTTGATTGCAGCTTGCAAACCACAGCCTTCTCTTAGCACGTAAGTGTTCACTGGAGAGAAGCTATAGCAAGGAGATCAGAGTACCTCAATTCCTTTTCTTCAGTGATGATTAAATGTCTAAAAAGAAAAGAAACAAAAACCTCAGTCTGGAATAATAGCAAAATGCTAATTGATTCAGTTTTGCTATAAGACTGTACAGCATTTCTTTAAGTGGTGCACTGATGAAAGCAATTTCTATACAAACAAAAAGACTTGATGGTATAAACATCTATGAAAATGATGTAAATAAAGAGAATAGAGAGTGATTTACAGTAAATGATCCAACAACCATAAAGTATGTACTTAACTGTTCAGCCTCTTCCTGGTAACACATTGTTCTTTGAATTACACACTCAACACATTCTTAAAAATTATAAAAGCTACATGTAGGATACTGAAAATTTATTTTCTCGCTCCCCTGGCCAGAACAAAGATTAAAATGTTTCTCACAGGAACCTAAGTCTTGATGCATTTTTTTCCCCAAGGAGAAAACAGTACTTATAAAAGCTCAGAAAGGAATGGAGTATTTATTTGCTATAAAGAATATTTTTTTTGTTCGGATAAATCCTTCCTACGTTTTCCTCTCCCTATTCTCTTAAGATAAATGAAGGTGGTGATGAAGAATCTGAAAATGCTGTTAAAGAATTCCGCCCTGGTAAACTCAGACTCAGTTTTGAGGAGATAGAAAGACAGAGGAGAGAAGAGGAAAAGAGGAAAGCAGAAGAGGATGCACGACGACGCATAGAAGAGGAGAAAAGAGCATTTGCTGAAGCAAGGAAAAACATGGTATGGCATTTTGGTTTAGCACAGAATTTAATTTTTATCTAAATCCCAATCTGGAAAGAAACTCTGGGAAAAACTTTAAAATAAAGTTAGGAATACATGCTTCACCTCCTTCATTAATTAGTTCACCTAACTATTTATTATAAGGTAAAGGGGTAAACTAGTCAAGTTCATTTACCAAAAATCATCAGAGAACAATCCCTCCTCACAGCCAGCCTAGAGAGGATTTCAGATAATTTAGTCAAAACCAGGTATCATACCCAGTGGGTATTATTGTACTAGATGCAACATACTTGGGAAGCGAAATGTTACCACAAGAAGGGTTAATTGTTTTGGGTTTTTTTGGGAAGAGCAATTTCTTTTACAGCTCCAAGTTTATTCCCCTACCTCTACAGGGTGTCCACCAATCATCTCTTACTACTAAAGCACAATTAATGGCATAGTAGAAAAATGCTTACAGCAAGTATGACTTTTCCAGTCATCTGTGCCTCTTCAGGGAGGGAAAATTAAAAGGTTGAACTCTGCTACTTGATGTTTTTAATGCTTGTTCAGAGAAAAACAAAAATAACTCGTGGTGTTTACCATTAGAACACTTTGTAATACTGTCTTCCCTTGACAAACAGATTTCTGTCATATGCAGGGACTTCTAAAATTTGAGTTAGGATTAAACTGCAGACAAATTTTCAGGGGCTTAGGACTGCCATACACTACCTGAAAGCACAGAAAGATGCCTGATTTCAGAGGTTGGCAACTACTATTTATATTTTAAAAAAAAGTGGCCACAGAGCTTTTAACGGTGGTCTTCATAGTTATTCCAACCACTTCAAGATTCAGCAGGCTTTTGTGTATAAGCCAGTTACTTTACTGGTGGATATCAGGAAATACAGCATTAAATTACACAAGTATAAACTAGAATAAAGTAGTGTTTGTTTCAAAAGGGAGGGCAGGACCTGCCAGACTAGAACTGTGGAATAACCCAGGCATCTGGTAGCATCTTCCTACATCCTTTGTGGCTGAATTGGGAAAGGCAAACTGTGTGCCCAGTAACATTTTCTTGATCACTCACAGCAATACTTGGGAGAGAAATGAAAACTTTGTATGAGTACTGATACTGCCAGCAGGGCTCCCTCTGCCTGGAAACTGGGCCAAAGACCTGTGCTGAAAGACTACCTAGAGAAGCTACAATGTGAATTTATATTTGATACTGTACTGAAAAATAGTGTCTGTCTGTACCTCTAAAGACAGAACACAAAACCTAAAGCCACTTAAAAATACCCTGAATCCAGCAAAAGAATGCTCCTGGAGACTTTTTATGAAAAGGCAGTAGAGAACTAAAGGAAGCACAGAAAGTATGTGCTGCTTCTGTTTTTTCCTGCTTTCTTGATGAACTCTTTTTGTGGCCTCAGTGTAGCAAGAACCTAAACCAAGTGTCCAGGTAAGAAAAATTTCACTGATAAACAGGGTGTAATCCATCAGAGGCAGCACAGAGGCTGTGACTGCTCTACTTGCAGACAGTAAGAGGTCTGTAACTAAAAGAAATACTGAAATATATTTTCAGCATTTATGCACTTGAAAGTTCTCTGATAAGTAGCATCCTGAATTTGAATACTACATTTTCTACTACTCACAGAATATAACAACCCTCTGTTTTCCTTATTTCCCACTGCTACAAAATGTAGCAGCAATGAAGATATGTCCTAAAATGTTAAAAAATGTAACAGTCCTCGCTTTCAAAGGCAGTAAAAATGAACATTAAACTGTTATTCCAGGAACTTTTTAATGTTCATTCATTTTAATTTAGTTTTGGAAGTGGCAGAAATGGTAGTATTGTGGCTGGAAAACACAAATGCCGCCTCCTTTTGGATCTCCCTATTTCACATTTCCTTGTGCTATTTCCATGCTCCCCAGCATCAGTGTGATCACTTCTACACTGAAGCAGTTGTCTTTCATCCCCATCAATCTTTTTCTGGTAGAGACTGCAAAAAAACCCCTGTCTTAGCAAAAAAAAAAAACAAACCCAAAACAAAACAAAAAACCCAAAACAAAACAAAAAAATTTTTCCTGTTGACTATCCTGCAAACCATGATTGTTACAGGAATGTTTCTCACTACCATTTCCACTTTGCAGAAAAAAAGAAGTATGGCCTAATTTCACAAAATACGGCTAAAATATTTACTGAACTAACCACAGGGGGTTTGTGCATCACACAATTCAGCTAAATCTTTGTGGTTTTTAACCAGGGAGAAGGTGGCTGTCTTTTCATAACTCAGTAAGTTGGAAATACAGAGACAGCTGCTAGTGCATGCACAGTTCTTGAACTCTTGAGGGCAAATTCTGAATTGATGCTTCTCATGGTCACTTAGGTTTGGTATCTTCTTGAAGTGATGAGCTTATGAACTGATGCACCGCCAGCAAGAGACTTTCATGTTGCTTTGCTGATTTAGTTATGAGTAGCCTCTAAAATCCATGGGGCATCGTTTTCACTGTAGGGAGGAACTCACAGCTTTGGTTTTTTGAGTTCACTTCTCTATAACAAAATTTCAACAAATATGCTCATATTACATAAAACAAAGAATGGAAGCAATGGTGGTGCTGAAGTCCAATTGTAAGCTTAGAGGGAAAATCTGAGTAAAATCTGTAGTGAATGGCAGAATTTGAGTGGGATTGGGCTAAAAAACTACTGAAGGAGCTGTGACAAATAAAGAGGATATGGGTAAAGTAGGTCAAGAGGGTGGTATGAACCAAGATAACACCAACAGCAGAGAAAGGTGTGGGTTACAGTGGCAGCAAGCAGCAATAAATATAAGAAGTGCCAAAGGCTCTTACAGAAATTTCTACTCTCTCTCCCTTTATAATCAGAGCACTTTCTCAAATGGAAATACTGCTCCTTTAATTATTGCTATCATTTGACTTATTACTGCTGTTGGAAATGCCTACAACTTATGGCACATTGAGCTCTCCCATGTTTGCCACAAGGCTTTTTAAACTTGTGCTGATCAAACAGTGCCAAAAGCCACATCACCCACCAGTTCAGTACCTGACCTCACCTCACCTTTACCTACAGAACATTCCTGCTGAGACAATCTCTGTAAATCTATATAGTTACATGCACATATATTCTTATTCATAAACTTACATTAAAATTCCTATATAGCTCACTGTCACTACTGGCTGCTTTTGTAGTGTTCAGCTTCCTATTTTAGTACTTCATCAAATTCAGTCTGATAAAATATTAGTTCTTGCACTTGCTGCTTTGGAAATAATGAAAAGTGCCTTTCCTAGGCCCTACTATCTTATGGATTAGTCTAAAAGATAGGCCAGCTGCTCCTAATGCCAACCAGGCCTAACCCTGCTCTGAAGCAGACAAGGACAGGGAAAGGAGGAACCCTTTGCCAGTGGGTGTATAAATCAATAAACGGGCCACATAACATAAACAATTTGTGTAAAAAGAAGAGCTTCTTCTGAATGGTCTGTTCAGTTATCCTTACTGGGAATACTAATACTGCTTTACAACACAAACATAATTCAGATTGTTTAAGAGAAAGATTACAGATAAATGTACTTCAGCATTAAGAGCAATGATGTTTAAACACAAACACTTTGTCTGAAGTAAGTAAGAATTAATTGCTTCAGGTCCTTAAGTGCATTTAAGGGCATCCTCCACTGCAGAGGGAAAATACTGCATTTTAGAAAACCACCTAATCTTCATTATAAAAGTTTAGTGTTGTAACTAAAGTTAAATACAAACCCCCAAAGCACTCCCTCCCACACTATTAGAGGAATGCCCACATTGCACCTGTCTGTGCTGGGGCAGATGTGACAACGTAGTCGCTTGTCTTTATTACCAGAAGTGTCTGAACAATGCTGTGATTTCATCACAGGTGTAATTAATGCTCTGAATTTCCAGCAGGTGCTGGATGATGAATCACCAGAAATGTTTAAAACCTTTTCTCAAGAATCTCTCATACCTGGTAAACTGGAAATTAATTTTGAGGAGTTGCTGAGACAAAAAATGGAAGAAGAAAAGAGGCGCACAGAGGAAGAGCGTAGGCAAAAGTTGGAAATGGAAAGGCAAGAATTTCAACAGCTGAGACAAGAAATGGGAGAGGTTTGTACATCAAACTATATGTTAAGCATGCTCTGAATAAAAATAAAATTTATCACTTCATTACTAGAAGTTTAATACTGGAATGAAAAATTCCTTTGAAAGAAGTTTTAAGTTAATACATCCAACATTATGTGAAAGGAAAATAGAAAACCTTATTTGTATAACATTTTACATAGTGACATTTTTTATCACTAATCTATCAGGAAAATGTGTTTATCCACTCCCACTTAGAAGTAAGTACAGTTATGAATTTGTAATTTGGTTTTGCAGTAATTTCTGAAAATTCAGGAACATTACTAAAATGATTAGAAAATATTCATGATCTTGGGAGAACAGAAATATCTAGTTCCCAAAAGACAATACAAAAACAGAAGTAAGAAAGGGCAAAATTCTTGCTTTTCCTTAGAGAAATACTGTGCTACCTAATGAGAAAAATACAGTGGGCTCAAATTTTTTCTAATTGGTGTTTCAAGGGTATGAAGACTGGCACAGTTGATTTTAAAAATCACACACAAAATCTGTGTTACATCCCAAATGTTTAAAACATCACATTGATGAACTTTATACTTCAGTGTGGCTGTGGGTGGCAATTCTTTAGAATTCCCTTTTGAATGTTAGAGAACAACATTAATTTATTATTTTATTATTTTTGTTGCAAAGCTCAAACAAGTAGTAAAGGCTTTAGCTTGTGATGTTCTCAACTAATCCTGGGGAAGCGGGGAGAGACAGGGACATCCAGCTAAAATGCACATACATCTGTACAATCAGAGGCCATAAAAGGAGGGAGAAAAATATCAGCAATTACAGCTTCCCATGTGGTTTGACTACAGGATCCACAACTGCCCTTTCTTTTCCAGCCATGACATCTTGAAATGTCATTTACTTTTTCATTGAATTAGGAAAAGATAAAAAAGGCAATATTTTAACAAAAGAGCTGTATTTTAGAGATTACTTCATATCATATTGCAAGCAAGTAGAGGTGAATTTTGGACTCCAGTTAAGTTTTTTGTATTAGTCTGTCTGGTTTTCTGAATCCAAGAAGGGCAGTTTATTGACAGCAACCCTTGAACAAATGGCATATTCAACAAGATATTGTAAAATCTCTATGTAGTTGAGATATGATACAAATGCATTCATCATGAGATAGCAAAGGAAAAAAAATGACAGGGGAAAGGTCTCTGCTGATTTCAAATAACTAACAGAACTGTAATGTATTGAATTACACCATCTGGGGGGAGAATAGGTAGTAAAAATAATGAGGGCATTTTCCATCTTACACATTCTGTAATTTCTGAACAGCTGGAAGAAGAGTCTGAAACTTTTGAGTTAAGCAAAGAGTATGAAGAATTGATAAAGCTAAAAAGAAGCGGTTCTATTCAGGCCAAGAACTTAAAAAGCAAGTTTGAAAAAATAGGACAACTGTCTCAAGAAGAAATACAGAAGAAGATTGAAGAGGAGCGAGCAAAGAGAAGAGCCATGGATGAAGAAATAAGAGAAAGGGAAGCTGAAAAATTTCAAGAGGTAAGTTGCATTCTGTGTATGTTAATGATCTACTTAACCAGCACACTAATGATCCAGGAGTGGACAATGCTTTCATCAAATTTTGCGGTTTCCAAAATTATGTTTTCCCTTCTTTCCTGTTTTCTCCTTTGGATGCACAAGGATATCACACCTCAGCATCCCTTAAAGAAACAGCACCACTTTATTATCAGTGATTTGGTCAAGCAGAGGTCTGTTTTTCTGCTCGAAGCCCTACAATTCAGCAATTTAACCTGAAACCTGCCAGTCTGAGGGCTTAAAACACCCATATCTGAGAATTACCTATTAATCATCACTTGAACTGCTTCTCCTTCTGAACTCTTAATTCATTCTCCACTACATGAATTGAATAAAAAATTCAATTACCAAATCCAAACAATACCATTTGAATATCAAGTCTCTGTGATGAACACTCACTCCTCAGGGTAGAGCAGAAGAGGATTCCTATTTATCTGTACTTCAGACCAGAACCTTCAGTTTTTCAGAGGGGAAGCCCCAAGAAATGGAGCTATCAGTGACAAAGTGGTCTGTAATCCATAAGCTCAGTGTGAACTTTGGTGATGAAATGTAAAACTTTAACAGTACTAAGCCTGATCTGAGCCTCATTCTGGATCTTCTCCACAGGAGTCACTTCAGCATCAGCTCAAAGCCTGTCCTATTTGTCCTTTTAATTTAATGATTGACAGTCATTGTTCTCATAAGGTCAACTGTTTTAGTGTTAAACCCACACTAACATTTTGGGAAAATACTCCAGTCACTGAGGATTTACAATTGCTAAGTGCTCTACTTCTATATGAATAAAACTTTAGGAATATTTTTTTACACATAATTTTTGAAATTACTTTTGCAAAAATCTTGTCCTGTCCTTGGATGAACTATTACAAAACTCATCCTTACATTCAAACAAACTTTCGAAAAAAAACAGGTCTCTGTGTGGCTCTGCTCAGTTAAAAAAACTTCTGGGAACACAAAACTAGTTTTGCTATCATATATATGTCTAAGGCAATAAATAATAGTTAAACCATTTTTAATTATTATTTCCCAAGGATGATGACGTAGATGTGAGACCAGCCAAGAAATCTGAGGCTCCATTTACTCACAAAGTAAACATGAAGGCACGTTTTGAGCAAATGGCAAGAGCCAGAGAAGAAGAGGAGCAGAGGAGGATTGAGGAACAGAAATTGCTACGCATGCAGTTTGAACAAAAAGAAATCGATGCAGCATTACAGAAGGTATAAACTGCAAAATAATATTCTCTAGTTGTGTCATTTAAGTTAGCTTCTAATTACCACTGTAGGCAACACTACCAGGTACAAAAGGAATGTTTTGCTTCTTTTAGCAGGTGCTAGGAATTGCTGAAATAATATAAAATTGCTTTTGGTGTTTGCACATACTTTCCATGGAATCAAAAGAATGGTTTGGTTGAAGGGACCTTAAAATCATCTAGTTCTGACTCCCCTGATGTAGGCAGGGACACCTCCCATTAGATCAGGCTGCTCAAAGCTCCATCCAACCTGAACACTTGCAGAAGATTATGAGACACTGCTGACATCTATCAGAGTATGTAACATCCTGTGAACAGTCTGAAAATGGAATTGACATTCATGCCTGTATTTCACACCAACATTCCAGCCTCATTAAATTGCATTTTACTGCCTGTGGCATACCCAGATTGGGTGCATTGCTACGTATTGAGGACAGATGTGGAATTTCCTCTTCTCAGAAACACAGTAGCGTGTAATCAAACATCTGTCACTATCAGTCATAGTGCTATTGCCACTTTAAATGTTTTAAATCAACTTATTTTAAAACAGAAAAGGGAAGAGGAAGAAGAAGAAGAGGGAAGCATTATTAATGGTTCTACTTGTGAAGAGGAGGATCAAGCTCGATCTGGAGCTCCCTGGTTCAAGAAGTCACTGAAAAACACATCAGTTGTTGACGGCGAGCCAGTGAGATTTACAGTTAAAATTACTGGAGAACCAAAACCTGAAGTTACATGGTGGTTTGAAGGGGAAATGTTGCAGGACTCTGAGGACTATCAATATATTGAAAGAGGAGAAACCTACTGCCTTTACCTGCCAGAAACCTTCCCAGAAGATGAAGGGGAATATATGTGTAAAGCAGTCAACAACAGAGGCTCAGCTGCTAGCACCTGTATTCTCACTATTGAAAGTAAGAGCTAGCATTTTAATATGCTTGTCTCAGACAGTCTTCTTGCATCTTTCCTGTTATGAAAATCTAACTTCCTGTCTCTCTTAACTCTTTTTGTTTTCTAGCTGATGACTACTAATGCTCTACTTTAGCTGGAATCTTTCTTCCCCTCAACTTTCTTATTGCATCATCTCTTCTTTCTCTGATGGGGCCAACTAAAGAAAGCAAGGACGTGCATTACCTTGTCATTCCTGCATCAGATGAGAATATACCCTTCAAATTGTGAGAATTTCCTACTCAATGCAAAAACTACTATCAAAGGCTAAAAATAAAAAAAATCAATGTATGAAAGATGAACTGAAGGAAAAAGCTGTATTATCATAGTGCTCCAGCATTTGAAGACCAACTCTTGTGTAACAGAATAAAGCTGAATACACAATCTGGAACTTGTGTAGTAGTGTAAATCTGCTGGAGTATCCTGCATGAGCACTGAATATTTAAGCTGTTTTACCTTAACCCAGAGGCACTGAACTGGCAAAGGAAATACTTACTGATGATTTTCAAAAATCCAAGTGGACTATTTTTAAAGAATAGAAGATGACGTAACTGCTCACCATTGTTTCAAGCAGCATAACTTGTTTTAAAATGGCTTGCATTGAAAATGTTCTGCTCTGAATAACCTATGCAGCTGATCATCTCAAATAAAAACAATCTCCTTTAGGTTTGTAGTAGTCTTCAAAGTACCAACACTTGCTTGTAAAATGACACCGAAACAGGTGGTGACATCTATGACTGGCTCATATTTGAAGCTGGTGAAAAAAAAGCCTTAAGAATATTTCATGAAGTGCCTATTTTCTCAATCTTAATGCAGTAAGTTTATTGCCACATCTATAAACATTGTTTTCTTAAGGTTACTGTACTACTTTTCTCTAAGACCTCCTGACATCAACATTCACGTCGCTCTGCTAACACCCATCTGAACCACTGAGATGAAGCTTCAGGAGGAGTAACTTTACAAAAAAAGGTCACATTAGAAGTACTTGTGTATAGTACTGTGGCTGAATCTGCTTTCTTTGTACAGTTAGCTGCTGCAAGTCACTTTTTGGCCTCATTAAAAAATGGTAACGAGGTGCATAGTGTTTTGAATTAGTATCTATTCTAATAACCACAAACATTTTACTTCATTTTTTGTGGGTTATGTTCACAGAAGTACAGGTCACTACAATACTTTCGCTCTGAAGCTGTTACTTCAAAGTAACAAAGGCAGGGATAGGAGCATAAAAAAGACAAAACCATTGCTATTATTATTCATCAGTTTACATTTATTGAGAAAAACCATACAAAAACCATTATACAGTTAATGTGTACCCATATTACATACAATGTCAATGCAAGCTCAAAACCACATTTTTGTAAAGCATTCAATTTACCTCAAGTCCAAGCTGCATCTCCCTAAGACACTGTTCCCATCACAGTTGCCTTTTAAAGCCAATCTTCTGTTTACACACGGGTAGTTTCTGCAGAGAACACTTTTCTCAGGACGAAAAGGCATTTCACATGCACGCAAGAGAAATATTTGTGCATACACAAGAGTTTCATAAGCTATTACTAGGGAAGAGGGAATCCTGTCAATTGTATGCTTTCTGAAAAGCCCAGTCCTCCCTTCCTCCCACCACTTCCGGAAAAAAAGCAAAATGGAAAAGCTTTTAGCATGCAATGGAAAACTTAAGAATTACTTTGGAAAAGAAATGGGGAGAAACAGTTTCTACCATCCAATAAAATATCACTAGTATAAAGATGAAATACTTCAAGATAGGCTGTGCAAGTGAACCGTGACCCTGTCTGACTAACAAGTGAAACAGATGACTTACAATTAAGCCATACTAAAGAGCATCCACATGGTATTTTATTCCATTTCCTAATAAAGTATAGGCTGCAGAAACTGATAAAAAAATTCTTTTCCTACTTGGAACATTATGCTTGCTTTTAAAACTTTTCTTACTCTTCACATTCATTGTGGGACACTAAGCGGTGATGGGTGGGGTAAGCAGGAAACATTTCAAGACACCTTTTGGGTAAGTTCACTGCATTTCTAACCAAGTTCAGTTATCTTTTTGGCTACTGGGGTAACTCCAATAATCTACTGTTGTCCCAGGAACTCTGAGTTTGAAGACAAGAGTTGAAAAAGGAACACATGCTCTGCACAAACCAGCATGCCTGTAAGCCCTGCAGTGAGAAAGCTGGAAGCCAATACACCTGAAATGCTACACAGAAGAACATCTCACCTTCCACACACTAGCAACATCCCAATACACTGGCTTTTTCTTCTCTATCTCCTCCCACAGGCTAAATTAGCAACTGAAAGACTGTTCAAGGTATTTTAATAGTAACAGCTGAAGGAAAAAGTACCATGTAAAAAGGAAGTGAACAAATGACTCACCCCCACACTAAATCCACAGTATCAAAATCCAAATGGTACACACCTACCCTCTTCTCACGTCAAAAATAAAGTTACATGTTAAACTACAGATGAAATACTAAGTGGCTTGAGAAACTGAAGCACAACTATTAATCCAGTTCAAAAATCAGCTTGACTGTTTAGAAGAATATAAAGTAAAATAGATGGTTTATATTATTAAATCACAGTTTAAAAAAACTTTAACAGATTATGGAACATTAATGGTCAAACAAAGAATACTTTAAAGAATGAAAAGTGATCAAAACAAAAAATATACCCTGTATCATTATGTATGGGATACATTTCAAATCTGTTATGCTTTTGCCAATTTTACCTTCTACATGGAGCCCTTCTACGGTCCATGCTCATCGGCTCACCAATGGCATACACTCAAAGGATTCCTCTTTACTGGTAGTAACTATCTCAGGACCTGATTCTATGAGCTATGATTTGGTGCTTGCAGCATCTTCAGCACTGTGTGTGAAAATGAAGGCAGTATTTTTGAATATTTTTCTTTGATGCACAGATAAGCAGGACTTTTGAAAGAGGAGCAGCACATTTTAGAACCAGAATTATGAACAAAAAACCAAACAGATGCTGCTTTATGTTAAGCTAAAAAAACCAACAACAAAAGCTCAGAATAAAAACCTGTACCAGACCATCTGTAAGACATTTAGCATTTTATACTATCAAAATATTCAGCAATTCAGTTAAAAATATCAAGGAACAGCATACACTGACTGCTATAGCGATAAAGTATTATTTGCTGTACTGTTAATTGGTGCTCATGCTTTTTCAGTTAAAACATACTCATCTCAAGCTCCAAAATCTCTTTTCCTACCATGTCAAGTATGAATAAGCAAACTCCACTAACACACTATAACTGTAAGACAAGTTATCAAGTTCAGTGATAACAACAAGAAGTCAATCTTTACATTTAGATCTTACGGATTAAGTGGGAATAGTGCCCTATTATAAAAAAAAAACATTTGTGAAGGCTGTTGACATTTCTAACCAAAGCAATTCCTGCACATTTTAAAGGTTTTGATTCTTTAATTGCAACAATTATCTATTTGGGTAAAATAACAAAAATTACTTCTTCTGATCAAGTTCAATTACTGCAATCTAATAATCTTTTCTAAAAAAAAAAAAAAAAAAGAAAAAAGAAAAAAATACATATTGACCTAGAAATATAAACAGTTGTTTAAAAACTTAAGATTTTCCACTCAAATGGAACCGTGAGTAACAATGCATTTGGGGAAGCAGCAGATTGCTTTTCAATACACAACCACAAAGATCTCACAGGGACAACATTAATGTACTGAAATATATTAATTTATATACTTCCTTAGGTTGTGCTTACCTGTTGCTTTTTTGCAGCAGAACCTAAGGTGGAAGGTCTGGGAAGGCACTGTGAAGTATAAATAATTGCACTGTTTGCAATTAATAAAGATTTTATACCTTAAATGAATCAAAATCAACAGCCTCCATTTTGTGAATGATAAAGAATCCAGTGAATTTAATTTTGCTCAGTTTAGTACATAATAAATGCACCATTCTGTAAGGTTATCTACAAAATACCATGCAAAATACCTGAACTATTAAACTTAATACCCTACACTAAAGATAGCAAATACTGTCCTAGCCTTCTTCAAGCTACCAGCAAATTCCTAGCTTTAAAAGGATAAAAATAATTCCTTCTATTTCTACAGCACAATGCATACATTGCTGATTACCTGAAAAAACTACTTCAGTTTTCAAGCCTTAACTTTTACTTCTCTGTGCAGCCACCCTCAAAAAAATTATTCTCAAAAGCAACAACATGGTGTTCCAAAAATAAAAGCAATTAACAGTTATAGAATTATTTAAAACATACCTACATCACTACATATCCACAAACTATCTGGAGACAAAGACAACTCTGTCTAACAAGTGGTTCCAAAGACTTCAATGTTATGATATGCATACTTTAAAACACTGAATGACAGCTGTCTCATGAGTACTAATGAAAGAAACTCTTAGATAAACAGAAACATGATTTTCTTTAGCTATTGCTAACAGTTTCAGAAATACTTACCCACAAAACTCAGATTATGTGTATGTATATATATAAAAGCAAACCTACGTTTCTGAATTAAGAAGCAATTATGATTTCCTAAGATACCAGCACTGTATTCCAACATAATATCACACAAGTACAGCATTTGCATTATGTGGAACATTGACAAAAAGATACTGTTGCAGTTCATCAATTTGTCATTCTGATGTACTTACAGTGCAATGCTCCTTGAAGGAACAATCAAGGATGATACACAGCACAGTCCTCCTCACCCCTATAGAGCTAGTTCTATACTGGCTGGATCAAACCTGCACTTCAACAGACAATGGCAAGACAGACTGTAGTGCATGTAGTCTAACATATGCAAAGAGCCAATAAATATGCAAAGAGCAAACACAGGATTTCAAGAGAATCAGCTTTTTTAGTATGAGCATTAGAGCAATAAGAAGTTTCAAGTATATATAAAAAAATAATCAGTTGATTCAAATACTTGAATATTTACAAAACGAGAAGTTATCTGCTCTGCAGGAAGTTCTCAATCACTCCCATCACTCAAACAAAACAGCGTTTTAAGGACAGACGCAATTTTTGTAACTACTATGCATTACCACATTGACTTTTCTACACTGAATTTTGAAGTGGACTACTTTAAACTGAAGCCTTAAGCACATTACACTTAAAGTAAGTTTTATAACTAGTCTGAAAAAATCCGTATAATAGTTATGCAGGAACAGTTTTGAAGTATTCAATTAAAACAAAAGTTATATGTTATAGCAGCTGCACAGGTCTGAAACAGTGGTCATGTATAAAAGGAAATTTCACTGTTAATGCAATGGAAGTATGCCAAAAGATCATCTTCTTAAACACATGCAGTTTTAATCAAGTAGAAAAAAAATTAAGGTATCAAGATTACTGGTGCTAGGCAGCAAAATACAATGAATGAAAGAGATCCTCCATCTACAGCTATTCTGCAAGAGGGGAAAAACATGCTAATGACAAGTTTTTAACTCAACAAGGTTTATGGGGGGGGAAAAAAAACCCAACTCATTTGTGTAGCGGTACCTTGATTCAGCGTTGCAAATCAATCCTATAATTAATACTGCATATACCCACATATCCAACTTACCGACACAGGAGGTTTCATATTATTTATTGTAAAGCACAAAACAGGCATTTTAAAAGTGATAAAGTATACATTGAAAAAGTACATTTATATCACAAAGCATTGACCACATAATTGCAAATACATTTGCTGGAATGTGTACATCTACACTAATACTAAAAACAAACCATTTTTTCATTTCTACACAGAAATATTACCTCCTATCAGTAGTGATAGATATTTTGTACATTTTCAAAAACACTATTTTTTTAACCAAATTTAAGATCTTCATCAAGGCGTCTGCATCCATACATTTAACAAAGGTTTTTTCCCCCACACAATGAAGCAAATACTGTATTGTCCACTTCTTATTATTGGCCCTGTGCAGAAGAGATACATAAGAGATACACAAAAAGTTAAAGAAAATCCTTTAAATCGAGCTAACTCAGGAGTGAAGCCTTTAAGAAAGAAAAATTGGTTAATGTAAATGGTGGTGGCTTCTTGCATGGTT